CACACACACACACACACACACACACACACACACACACACACACACACACACACGGGGTGAGTGAGGCTGTGCTTTGGGTATGATTTGTCTCCCTAGAGGTCTGTGTGCTCGAGGTCTGACACCTGCTGTAGTGATTTTTGAGAAAGGGCACAGCTTTAAGAGGCTCGTAAGGCCACCCTCTCGCCCTCTGCCCATGGCTGTTCTGCCCTTACATATTTTCCTTTCCTTCTGTCTCCTGTATTTCGACATAGATGAGGGTCTTCACCAGAAACCAAACAGATGTGGGCAATCAATTCTGGGCTTTCTGCCTCCAAAACTGAGTTGAAGGAACTTATTTACTTTATGTATTACCCAGTCTTGGGTAGGATGGGCTAATACAGTGGTTGGTACAACTCGGGTCTCAAGGTTTGCATCTGATTGAGGGGACTTACTACCATGTCCACTTCACAGTGTCTTGCCACGGGGATGGATCAGGTAACATGAGGGTTGCCTTGACATGTTACATGCTGGGTCGCCCGTCCACTCTGACTCTGAAGAGGGGAAGAAAGCCAGAAGGCATGTGTAGGAGGAGGGAGGGATTGCTGTGGGATGTGGAAGATGGAGTGAACCTGACTCTGTGAACACATATAATCAATAGGTGCAATTGATGTGTTCATAAAAGTTACAGGTCCTGCTGGGTGAGCTGTTTCCCACGGTGACAAGAAATGCATCTATTTCTTTCCTCTTCTTCTTAGGCAGGATAGACTACAGCATCACCTTTAGGACAGAATGGCCCAGGAGTGCAAGGCCATGTCTCTCTCACAGTCCCCATCCTCCCCTGGGGGGGGGTTTGTGGTCCAAAATCTCCAACATAAACCTGGGAGTGATTTTTGCTTTTCAGATGTGAAGGAAATAAAAGCCACCGAAACCCGAGCATCCACTTGCTCCATCAGCACTGGCTGTTTACCTACTACGTGCAGGGCTTTGAGCATGCAGTCCCAATTAGGTCAGCATTTCTTGTGTACCTACTATGTGCGCAGGGCCTTGTAGAGCATGACGGATTCAGTAGCAAGTAGAATAGACCCGAAAGAGACCACGGCTTCATTCTGCTGAGCGTGTCTGCTGGAAGACAGGCAGGAAGTAGTTCCGAGGTCCTCCAGGTTCCGGGCTTGGGGAAGCCGTATCTGAGGACTTGGAATGGTGCTATGGCCTGAGAGGGAGGGCAGTCTGTTAGTAGAAGCGTGGGCAGAGAGAAGAGCATGCAGGTTTTAGGGAGCCCACAGGAGAGGGGTAGGGCGGGTGATCCTAGCAGAAGGCAGGAATGGGTGGGGTGGGGGCAGCAGGAGGCGTAGGGCCTTAAGCTAATGTGCCAGGTATTGTCCTGAGGGAACAGTAAGAGCAGTAACTATGGAGAAGGGGGGACACATTTACACGGAGAGAGGACCCGAAGCACCTGTGTAGAGTGAATTTTCTGTGGTGAGCAGAAGATGGAGGTCCTGGCCAAGGGCTTTGTGCAGTGCAGTGAGTGGTCCAGGGAGACAACTAGCTGTGCAGGAGGGAGAGGCTCAGGGAGACAGCTGTGCGGGGGGGGGGGGGAGAGGCTCAGGGAGACAGCTGTGCAGGGGGAGAGGCTGAGGGAGACAGCTGTGCAGGGGGAGAGGCTCAGGGAGACAGCTGTGCAGGGGGAGAGGCTCAGGGAGACAGCTGTGCAGGGGGGAGATCTGGTCTCAATCCAAGTGTAGAGTGGAAGTCATTCAAGGTGGGGGCTGAGAAGGTTAGCGTTGGTACTCGAGGAGGGGGAGCTTTCCTGATGCGGGGACATAGGCCGGGCAGCAGGCTGGACCAGAGAGCAGGCTCATTTTGAACAGGTAGTGAAACAGAGATGCCACATGTCAGAATGGCAGGACTTTGTAACGGAAAGGGATCCAGGCTGGCAGCCGAGCAGTGTACCCCTCTCATCAGGTGGAGCCCATCCTGGCCAGCGGTGCTTCTGGGGGTCCCTGCCCCTACCTAGACTTCCCAGGCTTGCCCGTCAGTCACTCTGTGACCTCCACAGTTCTCCCTGCAAGCCCCTCTCCTCGGCAGAGAGTGGCGACCGTTCTGTGTGCTTCAGTCTTAGCCAGGAGCACACGTTTGAGGATCCACTAACCTGAAAATAAAACATGTGGGCTCCTTGGAAATGAGAACTATGTTAAAACAAGGAGTTATTATACTTGTATGTGAGCCAATGGAGAACAGAAATACAGCCTCAAGGCACAGTATTGATTCGGTCCTAGGTGCTTCTCATCGCCGCCGAATGAATCTGACATTCCTCCTATGGAGTGCTGGCTGAGCGGATGGCAGGGGTCCAGCTGCCAGCCTCCTACCCTGCTACAAGGTTAAGTCCCTTCTTGGCTCGCTCCAGTTCTGATAACCCATTTCCCGCCTGTGCAGTTCCGGCTGCCCTTCCCGTGTGCAGGGTTACAGGGACAATTCCAGTTGTGAGGTTGGTGGCTGGCCAAGAGCAGATGCCCTCTAATTAAACTAGGGACCGGTCTTCCCAGAAAACAAAACAAAACAAACAAACAAACAAACAAAAGACAGAGTTGCTTGGCAGAACCAAAGATTGGAGATGGGAGTTTAAAACCTTGAGATACATTAGGGTTATGGAATTTGCTTGCTCCGTCCATCCAATCACTGGGCTGATTGAGTGTCCAGTGAATGGTAAGTTCTGAGATAAGCCCGGGGATACTGGCGTGAAAGAGTGTGTCCCGTGGGCACCCAGAGATGTTGAGTATGAAGCTGGGTATATAGCAGCAAGTCTTCAAACCGCGGTGAGCTGGGGTTGACTCACAGCATGAAACCACAGCGGATGCAGACATCTAGGCGAAGGATGCTGCGGTGAGAGGCAGGGGCTGGGGCTGCCCCCCAAGGAACGTGGCATGGGTACAGGAATGACACTTGAGGACCAAAAAGCCAGGAGCCCATAGGAATGGCCCATAGTTGAGCAGGGGAGGCTGCCGATGTGACAAATCACTTCAGTTAGTTGACTTGAGGTAGATTAAGATGGCTTGATAACAGAACTGGATGTGAGGAGGCAAAAACGTCATCTGGGGATAACGCTCCAGGACAGGGCTGCTGAGAAACGGGGCAGAGGTGATGCTTGCACACCCTCTAAATGTAAACTACATTCCCCTTGTCATCCCCAAGCCTCTCTCTCAGGCTATGACACTCACTGTACTCCCATGGTGAGCTACCCTGGGTGGAGCGTTTCTGTTCTTTGCTACAGCTGCAGGTGATGAAACACGACCCACAGAACTCATCAAACCCACTTGGCGTTTATTGGGAAAGGGAGCAAAGGGAGGGGTAGGTGTTGGCCAACCGGAAACAGAGATGGAAGGGGAAAGGGAAGAGGAAAGAGGTAAAGAGACACAGAGACAGAGAGGATAGGAGAGAGGGAGACAGCGAAAATCCAGTTTGTGCTGGGGGAACAGCAGGAAAGAGAGAGATGAGCAGGCAAAAAGATCGTTAAGTGGGCAGGGCCTTTCTTTTAAAGGGGTCCTTTGTACCCGCGGGCAGACTCTATGGAACCTTGGGCTGACCAGGGTACTGCCTGCGCATTCTGCCAGGTGACAAGGGCAGGCCAACATAGTGCCTGTATCCTTAGTTTCTCCAACACGAAGAAAGGACTCCATGTCTCTCTTTTTAAGGCTTCCCAGAGTGCACAGTAGCTGCAATTAAGCCTATGCTTAAAATAAATCACCGTCCAAATTAAACTATGTCATCCATAGCCAAATTATTACAGCGCAATTCACAAGTGACCACATCATTGTGCTGGCACATTGAAAAGTGTATCTTAGACTTCATCTGATCCCGAGTGCTCCTGTGTCATGAATTGTACCCTGGGCTCTGAGGAGCAGTCAAGGGAGAGACAGCCCATAAGTAGGACACACTGGGAATAGATGACCTCAGGTGCAAAGAGCTTGCAGCCCAGGAAACCCTGTGTTCTCAGGACAGCGTCCCTGATTTCTTGGCCTGCATCGCAGGTACCGGGAATCTCTGAACAAACGGATGATGCAGCTGTAGGATGAATTCGTGGGTTCCAGCTGGATCAAGTTTGACCCAGACCAAAGTAAGTCCAGTGCTGGAAGGAGACCATTGCCACTGTGGTCTCACTGACCCCAAAGCCAGCCTGTGTAGGAAGTGATAACAAGGCGGCCGGGGATGGAGGTGGGGGTGGTAAGAAGGAAAGGGCCAGGTGTGCAGGGGCCTAGGATTGCATTTGGCTGTTCGGTGTTTCTCGGGAAAGCATCGTGAAGGTGTTGGGGCTCGTGCTCTCTCCATCTCTGTCTCGCGTGTATATGCACATGTGTGCGCGCGTGTGTGGTCAGTTTTGTTCTAACAATAGCAAGCATTGGCTGCAGCTGTACAGAGAAGTGGACAGGGAACTCACCTGTTTTTACTCAGGGCAAAGTGTTAAGTTCTTCCCAGCCCTATTTCATCAACCTTAGCTGAGTATTTGGAACAGGAGTGATCCTGGTTCTGAACTCTGACCTGTCTCTGAAGCTGGAGGATGTTTACACAGGACTCCCACGGGTGGCGACCAGACTCCAGAGATGCTTGGTGCGTGGCTTGGACGAGGGAGTGGAGAAACTCAAGTATTTCTGTACATAAGAAGCGTTCTAGGGCTTTAAAGGACAGACTCTTGGAGACCCTGTTAAGCTATGCTGACTCGGAAGGTTGGGAGAACCCCTCTCCTCTCCACCAAAGTGATTGAGCCAGGTGTCCCGACCCTCTGAGAATCCCTCAGCACTGGGGACTTCAGCCTGAATCTTTGTCAGTCCTGCAGAAAAGCTGCGAATGAATCATGCTCCGGGATGGGACCGCGCAGCGTCGCGAGGCCGCCAGGGGGCGCCAGAGCTCTCGGCTATGAGCTCGGGCTTCTCCGCCCGCGGACGCCGCGCCCGAGCCGAGCCAGAGCGCTGCGGGCTCACAAAGCGGACGGACGCGCGGCGGCGGCAGGTGCGCAGGGGAAGGAGCCGGGCAGCAGCCTTCCCAGCCACCGCGGCACAGGAGCCCCAGCAACTCGGTCGCCGGGACTCAAGCGGACCCCCAAGGTACGTGTCCGCAGATCCCCGAGCCCCAACTTGGCGTATTGACGTAGTTGGGACCTTCCCGAGGCCATCCCCGGGGCCGGCAGGGTCAGGGCCTGGGGGCATCTCTGCGAGCCCCTGTTGCACAGAAACAGCGGGCCGGGCACAGGGAGACCTTTGCCTTAGCTGGGAATGGGAGGCCCCGCTTGAGGACACCCTGAAAGCCCCCATCTGCCAGAGCCTGGGATGATGCTCAGAGCCCCGTTATCCCTAACCCTGCCCCACAGCTGTGGGCCCCGTCTGTGGGAGTGCGGGGCTGGCACATAGAGCATCCGGGTTTTGGGGAGAGGTGCTGACGCCCCTCATTCGAGAGCAGGTGAGAGGGTGCTCTGTAGTTGGACAGCAGCCCCGAATCCGTGACCTGGCCTCTGCATTTGTAGCTGTCTCCATTCGTGAGGGCTCTCCAGGTGCAGCCTCCGTCCCAGGTGTGCGAGGGACCACCCTGTCCCCGCTGCGATCCTAGGCTTGCAGCTGGTGCGCTCGCTCCCCAGGCGCCCAGACCCCTCGCTGGGAGCTAGGGGCTCGAGGTCGTCTTGTTGTCGCCGGCTCATGCCCGTGTGCCCTGCCCCCAGATGCCAGCGGTCGCGGTGCTCACAGCGGTCGCCGCGGCGTGGTGCTTTCTCCAAGTGGACAGCCGGCACCTGGACGCGCTCGCAGGCGGCGCGGCCCTCAACAACGCCAATTTCCTAGACAATGACCAGTGGCTGAGCACCGTCTCCCAGTATGACCGTGATAAGTACTGGAACCGTTTCCGAGACGTGAGTACAGCTGCCACCCGCCTTGGGGGGGGTGCAAAGTAGGGGTGAGGGGGTGGTGGTAGATTCACACCTTCCAGGGATGTCCACAGTCCTTAGGTCTAGCCTGACAGCAACTTTAATGAGAACTTGGAAGGCTGGATGCTCTTGCGTGCTACCTGTGGTTCAGGTGTGTGCACTTGTAGGACTAATGCAGCTGTCTGCGGGGAAACAGGGCACGAACCTAAGCAGCTTGTGGAGAGGGGCCCTTCAAGTGTCTGAGAGCTGGCGATGGCAGGCTGACTTTACCAAGCTCTTAGAAGCTCCCAGGAGCGGCAGTGATTTGGACATCTTTAGGGTGCCTCAGGGGAAAAAAATCCCCACTGGATGAGCATAGCTCATTTATTAGGGAGCCAGATGAGCGGAGGTCTTGGGGTGGGGTGGGGGAATCTCATGGCAATGAGCATGATGAGATGTCAGCGAACAGTGTAGTGGTTTGGAATCTTCCAGACTTTAGTAGAAAGGAAGCAGGCAGCCCAGGGAATCGGCCCATTTTCTCCTCGAGAGGGCTAGGATGTGGGAGAGACACTCCGGGGAGTCAGGGGCACTTCAGCTGTTTGTTTCCGTTTCAGTTCTGGCTCCCATGTACCTCTGTGCCCCCAGAAGAGGCACCTGGCATAGTCATTCCAGCAGACAACCCCCTCCCCTTCTGGCCCCCAGCAGGGCCTGTTCACAGGTTCTTCAGATGCTTTCACTATTGCAGATACATGTCTAAGACAAAACGAGTAAAACATTTATGTTCAAATGCATTGCTTTTTTTTTTCTTTTGCAGCAGCAGCTTATGGGCTAGGACATTAAAAAAAAAAGCAGTATATGCATTTTAAAGGGGTAACCTGATCCTTTGATCTCATCACAGGGCAGGGCTTGAGTGCAGAGTGGAGAGAGGTGGCTGTACACTCCTCTCCGCTGGCTGGGTTTCTCAGTCCCCCGCCTCGCAGAGAGCAGGGCTCCGAGGAATTGAATGGCTCCAGATGTTTGCCTGCTCTTTATAATCAGCACCCTGTCAGGGCTCCCTCCCAGAAGCAGAAACAACTTCAGCCTTGGGTGGGGACTTGCTTACATGCTATCCCAGCCCCACCTCCCCTCTTGAGTGGGTGGTGGGCATCTTCTTCTGGGAAGAAGAGGCTCTGGCTGCACCTTACAGGGGGTACCAAGTCCCCTTAGCTATAGATGGCCCCTTTATGATTTTGATGGCCAGATTGTGATACTCCCGTTCCTAGCCACGTTGGAGTGGAGCATAGGGGAGGTGTGGACATAGTTTTGCTTTGCATGATTTACATTTCAGCTAGAGTTGAGGATTCAGGCACATGATGAACTCTTATAGACCTGGGCAAACAGGGCTTGGTTTGGAGGATGGGCCACCTTTGCTGGGTGGGTGCCTTGGAACAGGAAATGGGTGTGGAAATACTCGTGCTTGTGGGGTCTCTGAGTTGTGTGAAGGTCTGCACCCTCAGAATGTCATGCATACTAAAGTCTTAATTCCCATTTAGCTTTGCATTTTAGGAAAAAGAATGGCTTTTTTTTTTTGTTTTGATGGTTCTGACTTTTAACATGTAGATCTAATTGTCCCCTCCCAGTGTGACAGTGAAACCCACATTGCTTTCTGAACTACAGCACCCAGGCCTTTTGTTTTGTTTTTATTAATTCATTTATTTTACACCCTGACCAGAGTTCCCCCCCTCCTCTCATTTCTTCTACTTCCCCTCCCCCCATCCGTTCCTCCTCAGTTTCTGTTTAGAAGGGGGCGGGTCTCCCATGGATGTATGGCATATCAAGTTGCATTAGGACTAAACACCTTCTCTTGTATAAAGGCTGGGCGAGGCAACCCAGTATGGCAAACAGCCAGCCACAGTGTCAAGGGCAGCCCCTGCTCCCACTGTTAAAAGTCCCACAAGTAGGCTGAGCTATGCAACTGTAGATATGTATATAGAGGGCCTAGGCCAGTCCAGACTCTATGAGCCCCCTTGAGGCCGGGTTAGTTGATTCCGTGGCTTCTCTTGTGATGTTCTTAACACCCCCCCCCCCCCCCCGCTTCTGTAGTCCTTGACCTTCTCTTCAGCAGGATTCCCCAAGCTCTGCCCAATGTTTGCTTGTGGGTCTGCATCTGTTTCCATTAGTTACTGGATGAAGATTCTCTGGGGTAGTCACTAGTCTAAGAGAACAGGATCCAGGCTTTTCCTCTGCAGACTGGACACCTTTTTGAGGACAGTTCTCAGGAGTAGAACACTGCATTGGTGATTGTTTTGGAGAAAGGTCTAAGCTTAAGCAGGAGAGAGGGAAACTCTGGAGCAGAATAAGGAGCCAAGCTAGTGCTTTTAGCAGTGAGTCGTTTGTAAAAGTGACAATTTGGTTCAGCAAGTCATTAAAAACATCCAAAGATGGTAAAATATTTGCAAACATCATCAATCATTAACCATTTTCTATGCTTCGTGGAATCATCTGACCCCTGCGGTGGCTAAGGTATAATTGGATGCCATTAAACTCTTTAAAGTGTCATGAACTCAACAGACTTCCTTTTGGGACAAGTCTCTTTAGTTGGGTCATTTATTTGGAAAAGCCTGGACCCTTATGGGCCAGGGAGAAGTATGTAAAGTCCCAGGGTGGCAGTGGCTTGGCCAGTCTGATCACTCTTAGTGAGCCAGGCCTTGCTCCAGGTTGACTAGAGTTTAGTTTCTTGGCTATTATTTTGGGGCCTTTTATTGGGGGGGGGGAGACAGGGTTTCTCTGTGTAACAGCTCTGGCTGTCCCTACAACTCATTTTGTAGACCACATTGGCCTTGAACTCAGAGTGTTGGGATTAAAGGTATGTGTCACCATGCTCAGCTGGGGCTCTTTGTCTCGAGGCCGATGATGACTTGATGATGACTTTAAAAGATTATGGTAATGATGGATGCATGTTGGTTTTTTTTTTTTTTTTTAAATTCACCGTGAAAGAAAACGACCCATCCCCCTCTAGCATTGCTCTGTTGGACTTGGGTGGCAAACATTTAGAAGTGGCCTTTGATCTTAGGAAGCTAAAAGTGAAGCGTTATCTTTGTTTTCTCTTACTTTGGTGTTTTGAGACATCTCCTGTAGTCCAGTGTGGCCTTGAACTCATTATTTAGCCAAGATTGACATTGAACTGCTGGAACTCTGCCTCCCCAACGCTGGGATTATAGGTGTGCACCTCGTGACTCCGAATGCTTTTTCTCAGAGGCATGACTGTGCGTACTGGTAGTTATGTCTGAACCCGCTTGGAAATGGACATGGTGGTAGGATGTGCTCCTTGCTGCTTTCAGGGTTTCCATGTGCTGTGACATCGCTGGAGATGACCTGGCAGCCCCTCTCGGTTGTGCTTTGAGAAGTGTCTTGTCACACTCAGCATGTGAACAGTCACTCTCTCTGGCTAAAAACTGTTACACCTACCTCATGACTTGTTGGCTAGAGGTAGGGAATCCGGTAGCGACATAAAAGCACCCAGATGGCCGTTCCTCCATGCACTTGTGGCTCCTTAGCTTGGCATTGCCTTATAGAGACTAGAAATCGGGACATTTTGGCTGGAGGGAGGCCCGGACTTTTGTACAAATACAACATCAAGAAGGAAGCTATGGGCAGGGCAGCTGCACATGCAAGCTTACCGTGGTTGTGACATCACATCCAAAACCCGAGCAAGCCCAAAGCAGACCACATCCCAGCATGCACAGAGGAGCTGGGCACGCAGTCCCCGCTCCAAGCCTTGGTGCTATTGGCAATTATTAGCTGCTGGGAAGAGACAGTTTTCTCTGATTGTAGACCCCGCTAAGTTGACCACTCTCTAGCAGAAGGTGACGTAGCCGTGAATGTTTGGGCATCGATTAAGAACAAACACCATGAGCTGGGGGTAAATCTGAACAGCAGCAACAACAGAGAAAGAAAGTGCAGAAGGCAGGCATTCCACACCTCTAGCTGCCATGCATCCCGCTTCCCCATGGCCCGGGTTTGAGACATCGGAGCAACACAAATCCCACTGGGCTTGGACCAAGTCCCCTCTATTCATTCCTACATTTCATTCATCCTCGTAAATATCTGACTACCTCATGTGCACGGGGCTCTGACCTATAAAAGTGAGCAGGTTTCATGTCATCCTTCCTCGCCTACAACGGACGGGGTCGGTAGCATAGGCTGTTGCACAGTTCTTTCTCATTCTATGTTCTTTAAAGGATGGTAAGATTTTTTTTTCCTCATGGAGATAATACCCACTGGAAGTAAGGAGAAGATTTAACTTTGCATAAATAGATGATAGCAAACATTTATGGAGCATTCAGTGTGTCGGGTATTGTTCAAGGCACCTCCTGTGCATTATTTAATATAACAATCCAATGAAAAAAGTTGTATTATTCTTGACTGTTTATTGAGAGAGCTGAACTTTTCAGCCAGGATTCTAGAGGCTCCAGGATGTGGAGGGACCTGGATCCTGCAACCAACAGGGCTGAGTGGCTGTGGAGGGCGTGTCCTGTCCATAGCTCCATCCATATCATGGTGCAAATCTTTTCCACTTCACATCTGAGGGTAGTCAGCAGGACCTTGAGCAGTGGGAAGCCAGGTAGACACAGCTTATTGCCAGGGTGGCGTCAAGCTTTATCTTCTAATAACGAGCTTCTGATTTGATTAAAATAATGTTGTTGCTTACACTAAACATGACATTTCTTTCATGCACACATGAAACCGGCCTTGACATTTAACTCCAGGATAATTACCTCTAGTAAGCCCGAGCAGTCCAGAGTGCTGCTTTGGCTGGCATTTATCTTAGTTTGGAGTGACCTGGGCTTACAATTATAATGAGACTGTGTGGACCACATTCTGTGGGATGTGGTGGTCTCTGTGACAGAACTGGGTGGCAGTGACATCATCGTAACATCTCTCTCACAGTGAGTTTCAAGGGCAAACAGATGACAAGAGGTGATGTGGCTTGGTGGAGTGGTCATCAGTTTGTCAGCACATGAGGT